CCGCCTTGAGTGAACTTCGAAATGCTTTGTAAAGAAGAGATTTAAAGCTTCGGTAACAATTATCCGTTTAGCTTTTTAACAAATGCATATAATTTCCCTTTCATAAATTAATCGCGTTTCAGGCTGGCGACAGTTTTGTACTTTGCGACTATGGAGTTTGATGAGGCAAGACCAAAGGTTTTTTTCTGTATTCAAGAAACTGAGTTACTGTTTGTCGTGTTTGCTGAGCAAGAACAGTAAAAATGTTGCTATTTTGCACGATTATGATATCATTTTAAAAAAGCCTCTCGACTTGACAATTTCCTGTTAACAAAGAAAGTAAGTTTGGACCATGCTGAGAAGCGCCCCCCTACTTAATTGCGATTGATCACGTATATCGGATTAGTGAGGAAATTAGTGGACGGAATACAAGAACACGGGCTCTTATAGGAGGCGCTCCCCTCCCTTTTCCCTTTTTCATTAATCAAATATCTCACACCTCTAATTTCAGTGGTCGACTAAAACAATATTATATTGCCTTTTGTTTTCAGGGATAGGGGCATTATTATGTCACCGTTTCTATAGTTTTCACAGCCAATTGTGTGAGCCGTTCAGTGAGGTGCTGCTTGATCCCCCTTTTCCCTTACTCCTTTCTTCGCCAGCCACGCGGGCTAAAAATTACAGATAGAAAAAAAGGGTTTCCGGTTTTCAAAAAAGGAAAATTTCGCAGGCCTTCAAACACACCAGAAGAGTGGAAAGAGCGCTCATGCCAGTCCTACTCCTCATCACACATCACTTGAAGGCGGAGTGCTCATTTCATCGCCCAAACATTTATCCGCCCTAGTTCAGTCTTTTGCTTCCGTCTCCCTCCTGAACTTCCGGCCTCTCAAATGACCAGGTTTTCGGTCGCTGAAACATAAGAAACATCTGCTTTCCAAAACCGGTGACAATTATTCCACGAAACTCTTAGCTAATAGATTTTAACAGTCTGACAAGTGACCAGATTTCGCAAAAGGCCCACTGAAAGCTTTTGACGCTTTAGACAATTTTTTTTCCAGGTGGAGAACCTCGCACAAAATGTCTTTCAAGACTGTCCTGTTTGCTTTCACTATCCTAAACGCTAAATTCTTCCGCATATCTAAAAACCCGTGCGATGGCATAAGATTTCACGGGGACGCAAAGTTTCAATTTCCCAGCGTCCTGCCAAAAGGTTCTGAGTATTGGAAAGACCTTGTTTGCCGTTTCGCAAATTGCCTCCTCAACTCAGACAACAGCTCTATAAAGCCATCGCGAGAAAGCTATCCAAGACGCAATCATGGATCTTGGATATATGTAAGTTACTTTTCCCGTCATATCTGAATCAACAACCATAACATTTAAACGGCTGCCACGGTCTGTTTTGGTCGTCAAAGAAACTTCCTCAAGTACTGCAAGCCAGATGTTGAGGGCTCTTGGACAGATATGGAAACTATTCGCCTTTTGCCTTATAGCTGCTGCATTGTCGGAAATCATAATTTGGTTCTTTTTTTAAAGTGTAGCCTAGTAAGCCTGTGTGGAGAAGTGACCATTCCTGTCGCCAAACTCTCTATGCGATCGAATCTCCAGCCCACGATGTATGGACGTCGAGTGTATTTTGGAATATTAATGCTGTTTTTAAGTCATTGCCATTAAACGTTCCTCGCGGCTTCAAGGGTTAGGTTTGTTTAATATGGCACTTATTCAGCTGGGACTCAGCTGGATCGATTCCTTCAATTAGCAAGGAAAGTGTCCCGGGCTAAATACAGGAATCGATCCAGCAACAACAACAACGATCCGCCGATTTATAGATAGTTAAAGTCACTTATCTTCAGAAAGCATGTGAAAGTGAAATGACACATTAATTTTGAAATTTTTATATTGTTTGAGAAACATCAGCACAGTAAGATGTTTCAGTGGTGATATCATTTAGAGTGCTTTTCCCGCTGTCAGCTTAGCATCCGCGATTACGGTGGCCCGTAAGGGACATTACAATATATATATATTTTTGCTTAAGTTATCGCGCGATAATTTCAAACTTATCGCGCGATAACTTTGAATTATCGCGCAATAATTAGTCAGTTTATCGCGCGAGAGGTTTGAATTATCGCGCGAAAAATTTGAATTATCGCGCGATAATTAGTCAGTTTATCGCGCGATAAATTGCAACATATCACATGATAAAGAGAAGCTGGAACGCTGCATGCATGTATGCATGCATTATCTTGATGTTGACCCTTTCTTTATCATACTAAGAAGGAGTTATAGTCTAACTTTTAAGCCAGCTTAATAGGGTTCATTTGAGTTGCCAAGCTAGATTTCCAAGCAAGGATTACAGCATTTTAATCCTGAAGGAAAAGGGGAGTAATTAAGATTTACAATTGCTATATATATGTAATCAAATATCTCTAGTTTCAAAACTATACAGTGAGAATCAAGCCAGGTTACTTCTTAGCTTCAAGTTTAAAGTATACCATTGTCCAGCAGTGGTCCTTTTTTTTAAGTG